ATATCGTACCTAAAACACAGCATTGTGGTCTTGTTGACCAAGAAAGCAAGATGGCCCCAGAAAAGTTAATCAGCTCTAGAACTTATCACTGTGTAACATATGTAAAAATTTGAACGGTTTGGCTGGAAACCTGCAGACAAGTCTTGAAAGTGAAGATTTTAGGACGGAAAATCCAAAATGGCCACCTTAAAATTTACCCAGAATGCCCAAAAACCAATCAGTTCTTGACATTGATATGTAGAAACATCCCTGAAAATTTCAGATGAATCCCTCAAATGGTTTGGCTGAAAATCTGTAGACAAGTCTTGAAAGTGAAGATTTTAGGACAGAAAATCCAAAATGGCCACCTTAAAATTTACCCAGAATGCCCAAAAACTAATCAGTTCTTGATGTTGATATGTAGAAACATCCCTGAAAATTTCAGATGAATCCCTCAAAAGGTTTGGCTGAAAACCTGTAGACAAGTCTTGAAAGTGAAGATTTTAGGACCGAAAATCCAAAATGGCCACCTTAAAATTTACCCAGAATGCCCAAAAACCAATCAGTTCTTGACGTTGATATGTAGAAACATCCCTGAAAATTTCAGATGAATCCCTCAAATGGTTTGGCTGGAAACCTGTAGACAAGTCTTGAAAGTGAAGATTTTAGGATGGAAAATCCAAAATGGCCACCTTAAGATTTACCCAGAATGCCCAAAAACTAATCAGTTCTTGACTTTGATATGTAGAAACATCCCTGAAAATTTCAGATGAATCCCTCAAATGGTTTGGCTGGAAACCTGTAGACAAGTCTTGAAAGTGAAGATTTTAGGACGGAAAATCCAAAATGGCCACCTTAAGATTTACCCAGAATGCCCAAAAACTGATCAGTTCTTGACATTGATATGTAGAAACATCCCTGAAAATTTCAGATGAATCCCTCAAATGGTTTGGCTGGAAACCTGTAGACAAGCTGAAAAGTGAGTCGCCGCCAGCCGCCCGCCCGTCAAGCTGACTACAATATCGTACCTTTTGTTAGGTACGATAAAAAGAGTAATACTTGGTGAAACTTTCAGATTTTTATGATAATTAAAATATCTGTAAGAGTTATTTCATATTTTGTCTTAGGTACAATTTATTTGAGACACCCCATATAAAGAATATTAGGTAATGCTAAAACCCTGAGGGTAAAACATCTTTAGTAGAGATCTGTAGAGAGAAAATTCTAAATTTTTTATTTTTCTGAGCTATCAGGTCAATATTTGGCTGAACATCTTCTTTGACATACCTATTTTCTTTAACTGTATTGATAAACTATCAATTTCAGCATTATGAAGTGTAAATTCAGTTCAAAGCTCCTATAAAGGGAGTCCCACTTATAGATTTTTAAGATCCACCACGTTTCAAGAGGAATACCAGCTAAAATGATGTTCATCCAGGGGGTTTCTTTGAAGATAATAAAAATATATGTTAGTCTTGATAAAATATCCAAACTTAAATATATTTTGACAATTGACACTTGTCGATGATCGTTGAATGGCTGCCCTGCACTAATTGTTACACCTTCAATACAAGATGTAATACAAATCTCATTGTTTAAAAAGTTAGAAAACACTAATTAAAGCAGGATATATTGTTAAAGTAAAATTATCTTCAGGTTCTTGAACACATGAGAAGCAATGCATGAAATACATGGACATAAAACAAAAATGATGTTTGACCTAAGAGACAGCTACACCTGTTACATGTATTTGAGGAGTTGAAAACCCTTATTTGAAACTGTTTTGAAATTAGGGGTGAGCACTATCTCTTTCAAAGCTTTTTCAAATGGAAATACTAGGTTACCATGACTTCATTGATTATTGAATAACTGTATTCATTCATTTATTTTAAAGTAATACTTCTGAGAAGTAAGAAAATTGATATTTAAAATTATAACTATCATCAACAAGGTGAAACGTAAGTCCAACAAGGCATTAACATGACAAAATGTCACCACCTAAAACAATTTGGTCAATTTAAAGCAAGTTGAAAACAGACCTTTTTGACCTTTTTTGACCTTGAGAAGGTCATTAAAGGTCAAATGTCAAATCTAAAGTCAGATTTGAATTTCTGAGAACATGTAGATGATTTTGAAAAAAAAAATTAGTCAATTTGAAGCAAGTTGAAAAAAGACCTTTTTGACCTTTTTTGACCTTGAGAAGGTCATTGAAGGTCAAATGTCAAATCTAAAGTCAAATCTAAAGTCATATTTGAATTTCTGAGAACATGTAGATGATTTTGAAAAAAAAATTTGTCAATTTGAAGCAAGATGAAAAAATACCTTTTTGACCTTTTTTGACATTGAGAAGGTCATTGAAGGTCAAATGTCAAATCTAAAGTCAGATTTGAATTTCTGAGAACATGTAGATGATTTTGAAAAAAAAAATTAGTCAATTTGAAGCAAGCTGAAAAAAGACCTTTTTGACCTTTTTTTGACTTTGAGAAGGTCATTGAAGGTCAAATGTCAAATCTTAAGTCAAATCTAAAGTCAGATTTGAATTTCTGAGAACACGTAGATGATTTTGAAAAAATTTTTTAGTCAATTTGAAGCAAGTTGAAAACAGACCTTTTTGACCTTTTTTGACCTTGAGAAGGTCATTGAAGGTCAAATGTCAAATCTTAAGTCAGATTTGAATTTCTGAGAACACGTAGATGATTTTGAAAAAAAAATTTAGTCAATTTGAAGCAAGTTGAAAACAGACCTTTTTGACCTTTTTTGACCTTGAGAAGGTCATTGAAGGTCAAATGTCAAATCTAAAGTCAGATTTGAAGGTCAAATGTAAAATCTAAAGTCAGATTTGAAATTCTGAGAACATGTAGATGATTTTGAAAAAAAATTTAGTCAATGTGAAGCAAGTTGAAAAAAGACCTTTTTGACCTTGAGAAGGTCATTGAAGGTCAAATGTCAAATCTAAAGTGAGATTTGAACTTCTGAGAACATGTAGATGATTTAGAAAAAAATTGAAGTCAGTCTAAACAGTATTTGTTAAGTTATAGGAAGTTGTAAGAAATTGTTACAGACGCCAACCGCCGGACGCCAACCTCCAACCGCCGGACGCCGGACGCCAACCGCCGTCGCAAAAAAACGGAGACCATAACAATATGTCACCACTTTTGGTAATAACTACCATCAGCCATTTTGTTTTAAGCAAAGAAATCAGCCATTTTGTTTCAAGGTTATTCTGCCTAAACTTAACTGAGTTACTGGATTTGTGAGGTGTTGACAATAGTTCATAATTCTTTTTTAAAAATCATTTTACTTAGTGATTGATAAATATCTCAGGACTTCTTCATCCGACATAAAGAGAGCCCATGTTTCTGAGAAATAGGAACTAAAATATCTTCATTGAGAAACTCCATATCAAAATGTGCATAAACTTGAAGGAAAATAACATTTTGTCAGTCAGGGTAAGGCAAAACTCCTGTTTCATATTGTTGATACATTGTATATCATCTACAATGAATATAATGTAAAATTACAATATATTATATACCATACAGATAAATCTATTCAATGACAATTTGTAAGTCATAAATCATGATGATATTCAATCTATCAAGAATCTAATTTCTATCCAAATATTTCAGACATTCTTTTTATTATAATGTTGCATCAAAGCAGAGCTCCATTTCTAGTAAAATCTATTGTATTTGAAAAAGTCAAGTTATGAGATGAAACTGATTGAATGAGTAGATTCTGTTTAGAAAGTACAGGCAAATCCCTTTTCTTGTATCTCATGCACTTGTAAAAGTGACATGAAATGGTTTTTGGTACTTTTGTTTGTAAATAAATAAATAAATAAATAAATAAAGAATAAAAGTTCAAGATTCAAACCCATCAACAAATATAAACCACAAACTTGTTTAGAACCTGAGGTATGACAACAAACATCAAATTTTTAGACATCTTAAATCACAAGCCAGTTATTTGTGTGCACTTGAAATAGAAAGGTACTATTATAGGCTAATACACTGTATGTCTGTCTAACTGCTAAAACAGGAACAACACTCTGAAGATATTTGAAACAATTTTTAAATTGAAAGTGGAACAATTGGACTTAGAGCTCAAAATGTTAATGTTAAAAAATATAATGGTACATGGTAATGGTAAAGAAAAATATTATGGTACTTGTGAATGCACACTTGTGTATCAATAATAAATCTGAACCTAAACAAACCACAATTGTTCTTGTAAATATATGTGGTTAGGATTGGTAGAAAGGTCATGATTATTCCACTAAATGATTGCAGATAACACATTAACACACACATATACAATTAATATTACTCCCTTACCTCATTATATCTTGTGTCTATATCATTTATATATTGTAGTAGCCATGGAGGTTTCACAGAATTTCTCTCAAATTGAATAATCACTAATATCATATGAAAATTTAAAACTACCAACATTTTACCCTAGTCCTCTTGTGAACCAAGTCTCTAATATGTTTTGGAAATGGATTGTAACGATACATATTCAAGTGCAGCTCAATGCAGCTCATTTCGGGGAAGTGAGCACTAGATTGATCAATATACTTGATTTATCTCTAGTTAAAAAGGGGAGTTTATTGAAGGGAGGATAATCATAGTACAAGTATCACAAGATCATTATTAAAAGAAGGCTAAAACCTCAGTCACATTTACAATACAGCGATCATACGTCGACCTAAGTTCCTTGAAAATGGCAACAGTAGGAAATCTATGGCTGCCTAATGGCCTCTGTTCAGCTTTTTTAGTTTTTTACATGCCATAGAAATCTCTTAATCTCATAATGATATTTACAAAAACAACAACTATTACACACACATAAAACTGGTATAAATGCCTACGAATAGATGGCATATGTTGTTTTATTAAATAGTACTCCATAAAGCTTCTCAGAACTCATTGATTTGTTACACTCGCATTAGTTGTATTTTACCGCTAGAGTTAAAAGGACTATTTGCAGTTCAATAGTATTATTTTTCAACATAAAGACATATGTAGACTATTTTGGCACTGGAATATATAAAATAAATCTGATTTCAAACAGCAGGACAACGGAAGTTCAACAGATTTAGATCAGCATTAGAAGATCAAGTGTGATTTGGCATTTTTGGACTATTAAATAGACATGGCACCAATATCAGGATTCCTGGACTGTATATCTGTAAGTGATGAGGTAAATATTGATAGACATATTTTGAATCAGATGAAAAGTCAAGCATTTAGAATTGCCTCATACACCAAATGGCCAAAATGGGCCAATGCAAGACCAGTTCAACTAGCAGATGCAGGACTTTACTACACAGGCATGTATGATGAAGTCAAATGTTTTGCATGTAAAGCCAAATTTAAACAATGGTCTGAAGTCAATGACCCAATGAGCGAACATATGAAAGCAAGTCCAAACTGCCCCTTTGTCCAAGAAGAGCTACAGTCAGGTAACATCCCTTTGGTGACTGATGTAGCTGATATTCAAGAAATCGATGGCTTCAGAGAAGAGGCAGCTCAAATAGAAGACCAAGCAGATGTACCAAATAATGATGTTGATGGTCTCCCTATTGACGCATCCGGGGAGTACCCAAAATATGCTCTCGAGAGTAAGCGACTAGGGACCTTCACTAATTGGCCAACAAGTCATCATATTAAACCTGTTGATCTTGCAGAGGCTGGTTTCTTCTATCAGGGTAAATAGACAATTTTTACTATTTTTGTTCTATTTTTTCACTACGTAGCACTAAGCTATCATATAGGTTTTACATATCAGGGGTTAGGAGCATGCAACAGGCAATTTTCACCTGTTGCTTTCACAAAATCGCCTGTTGTTTTAGGGACTTTTCAATGTTTTTATGATTTCTATTAATTTTGCCTGTTGTTTTTCATTTCTTTAGCCTGTTGTGAAAAATTCTAGTGAAACCACTGTGAATGTTTTTCTATAGATCTATTTTGAATTTTTTTTTTCAATAATTCAAGCATATTTCATGCATAATATTTAACATCAAGCCTACTGATCTCAAAGAGGATTGCTTCATTTATCAGGGTATGTGATATATAAATATTTAAGTTGCATTAATACTAATTATTCACATATTCATTATATCAAAAAACAGCTGACGTGTAATTTCTGTCTCTTCGTTTGCTAGTTGGGTAAACAGCATCCATTGTATGTATATCAAAAGAAGTAAACAAAAAATAAATGCAGCATGATATTTGGCAAAACTTCTAGTTTTTAAGAAATTTTAATTATAATCTGATATATTTCCAGGATATAGTGACAATGTGAGATGTTTCTTTTGTGGTATGGGGCTTGGCAACTGGGAGAAGGGAGACACTCCCTGGGAGGAACATGCAAGGTGGTTTTACAAGTGTGGCTACTTGAAACAGGTCAAAGGAGATGATTGGATTAAGGCAATACGAAAGAAATATGATGAAAAGGTGAGGAAGTGATCTGCATTATGTTTCCTTCATGAGGAAGTCAGTAGAAAATATTCTGACCCTGAATTTATGGTTCTTTACAGATACCTGTTCTCAAATGCTTTTGTTCTGTCCTACATAATATATTATGTGGTCATTGTGTTAATGATTGTCTAATGTTTTTCATGTTGCCCTTTGTGTTTTTAAATTGGGATGATGAATCCACATCCTAGCATTAGATAGAATGAATAATTTAAGAAAGATATAATTCTACACTTCAGATTATCTTTGAGGGGAGTATAGCACAAGCTCAATGTGTTTCAAGTAGTAAGAGAGATCAGAATACAAAGCTTCCAGAATCTCTAACTAAATCCCTTACATACTATGGGCTAAATGAAACACCTACAAAACTGACTTTTCAGTCACATTCTGAAAATGTCATGCTACCACCTAGGTGTGTATGCCAAAATCAAGCCAGGGTTGAATCAAATTTGCCTATTAACCAGGGACCAGAACATGATGCAGGTAAGAAACCTTTATCATAATATGCAACTCACAAAAAATTGAATCCATTACTATTTGATTCAAAATTTCTCAACCTTATTTGGTACTAACGGGTCTTACCTTAAATTCTATCACAAAATGGCTGTTATTGATCATACTGTAGTTTCATTCTACCAACTGATATTTTTCACAAAGTTTTATTGGATTGAAAACTTTTTAAAACGGTGCATTGCTCGAAACTTTACTAACAATTTAATTTCATGTCTCACAAGATCCCGTAATTGAACATATTGCATGCAGGATGCTAACTAGATTTCTTATATCTATGATATTTATTTATGGTAAAAAGTCACACCCATGACTTTGTGAGTTGTTCTATTTAATCCTTTCTCACTTTTTACCATATTTACAAAATTCTTTGGAATTTTCTCCATTTGGTCAAAATATCCATGGTAAAAGTTATGAAAATACATAAAAGTATATGATGGATAAAGCACCATGCACCTACAGAGGGTAATCACATAACTCAATGTATTGCAGCTGATCTAATGCACTACACTGCTGTCATGTTTAAAGTCATCTACTATAATATATTAATTCATCAAGTCCTTGGTTTAATCCTTTACTTGACATTATAATTAATATGCACTAATTTTTTTGCAGATTGGGAAGATATCTCTAAAGGAGGAAAAGAAGTAAGAGATGAACAATAGAATATAAATAGTACATCACTGAGATACTGCTGAACATTACCATCTAATCATAGATATTAAGAGGTCAGAAAGATTAAATTCAATGTTAACCGTTTCAATAGCGGATGTATTAAGAGAGATGTTTACTGATGATTTCAGTCTTGGAGGATAAGGGCTCATATTTGATATTTATCTCATGTAAATATACTGTATATACTGTATACCATAAAATAACCAGAACAACGGCAACGCCAAAGCGTAGCGAATCCCATCGAACAGAAATGGCTGGCATGTGCCACGCTTATAGTATTCACATACCAAATATGAACAAAATAGCTACACTACTTTTCGAGTTATAGTGAAATACGTTAAAATGGCGGCCATTTTTCAAAAATTGTTTTCAAAATGGCCGCCTCATACCAAAAGTGTCATAGGACAGTGTGCCAAGCTTATAGTATTCACATACCAAATATGAACAAAATCGCTCTACTACTTTTCAAATTATAGTAAAATATGTTAAAATGGCGGCCATTTTTCAAAATGGCCGCCTTCTACCAAAAGTGTCATAGGACAGTGTGCCATGCTTATAGTATTCACATACCAAATATGAACAAAATCGCTCCACTACTTTTTGAGTAATAGTAAAATACGTTAAAATGGCGGCCATTTTTCAAAATGGCCGCCTTCTACCAAAGGTGTCTTTAGACAGTGTGCAATGCTTATAGTATTCACATACCAAATATGAACAAAATCGCTCCACTATTTTTTGAGTTACAGCAAAAATCGTAAAATGACGAGAAAAGGCCGCCATTTTTCAAGATGGCTGCCATGTGCTTCTTTAATATCTACATTTGTAGCATTATTAATGTCCTTTATAATTTTTTTACATTTAAAACATATTGCTATTACAGTTTTACATATTGCACCTAAATTACTGTAAAATCGGCACTAAAATGGCCGCCATTTTGAAATGAGCGGCCATTTTGAAAATCGGCTTTCAAGCAGAACTTCTACCCCCATAGGGTATATGTGTACAAAATATGAACAAAATCGGGCCAACGGTATTTGAGTTATTGCCCGGACGGACGGACGGACGGACGGACGTACGTACGGACGGACGGACGTACGTACGGACGGACGGACGGACGTACGTACGGACGGACGGACGGACGGAGGCGTTCCCTATATCCCTCCGAACTTCGTTCGATGGGATAATGAGCTACTGATGTGAATACAAGAAGAGCAAAGGTGTTATGTTGGCATTATCTATCACAATATATATTTATATTAACTGGGCAAAATATCCCACCACCTGGTTGAACACAGTAGAAGTATGTGTTAAAAGTCACTTCAAGTCTTGTCGATACAACTAATAGACAGACAGAGTAAATCAATCTTATTTCAAAATGTTAGTGCAATATAGATCATGGACAATGTATATATCACATCCATGGCCACAACTTAATCTCTATAATCAAATCTCAACTCAGTGTTTAATAACAAATTCTGGGCCAAGATGACATATTGAAGTAAAAGATCTAGGTTAAACCACAAATAGTTTATAACCACCCATGACAACAAATATAAGTACCAAAGGTTTTGACAACCAAAAAACACAAACCATTTATTTGTATGTAAATGCTATAATTATACATTGGTGTAATAATCATTTTAAATGTCAAGTGTTAAATCACACATGATAATCAAATACAAGATAATGTATATTTGAAACATCTTTTAAATTGGATTGAAGACTCAAAAAGTGATCTGAATACAAACACTAACAAAAGAAAATATTGTGGCACCATATACTGTATCAATAATACATGTAAATCTGAACTCTGTTAAACCAAAATCATTTATATGATAAATAGCTAATTACACTCCTCCCAAGTCTTCTGCAAGTGACATTATTTAATTCATCTATGGAAAGGGGTTAATTCCACATAAAAGATGCAAGATTTCTCTGCTGTTTTAAATGGTAAGTGAGGCAAATATGATTAAAATATTGTGGAAGATAATATTTTTTGGGCTTTTTTGGTTGAATTCCTATCAGGAGTAAATGCCATAAATTTACAGAGATAAGACGTATTATTCATCATACTTTCAATTTGTCGATTCAGTAGGAAATTCAACAGAAACTGAACAAAATTTAAGATTCTAAAAATTGTACACTCTGGTATCCTCCACAACTACTTGTGGATTGAAATCTTGTGGTTGAAAATAGGCTGTATAGAATTAGTGGTTGTTTAAATAAAATTATTTAGATAAAACCCGCAAGATTTCAATACACAATCAGTTATGGGGGTGATTTGAAAAATCAACCCCACATTTATGGGTGCATACTGAATTCTGTAGAAATGGAAGACTGGTATGAGTGATATAAGAAGAAGTGCCATGAACATGCCATTCAATTAAATGTACAAAATAATAAAACACGCATATATTACCCTTACCTCACTGAAGCACATATATGTATCAGCCATGGAAGTTTCACATTATTTCTCTCTAATTGAATTAGTACTTTTGAGATTTAAAACAATTCTCATTTTGCAATTTGTATGTGTCTTCTTGTGAATCAATTCAGCGATATGTTATAAAAACGAATTCTAACAAAACATTTTTAAGGCAAGCTCAGTTCCAAGAAGTGAGCACTAGACTTTAATAAATACATATTACCAATTTTATCAATAATGAGTTATTTTTAGTTCGAAGGGGATAGCCTCTACGAGCCAGTGTCGTCGCATGTCACATGATCAGATTTAAATGCACAGCCTCATTTTGAATCTGGACATGACCTCCATACTTTCAAGAATGCAAAACTAGGTAGTCGCTGCTGTTTCGTGTGCTGATTTTTCACAAAAATATACCTTTATCATAGAGGTAAGACAAAAATCCAGGCACTGAATAAAGTGTGACGCACATTTTGAATCGAGTGTTTAAAAAAGGAACTTCTAAGAAATCTTGAATAGTGAATTGAAGTGAATTAATCAGAAACAACATTTATATTTTATTGCGGCAATGGATACTTCAAGTTGTAAAGTCAATGTAGGTACTAAACCTAATAAAAAGGATATGAGAAGCCAATCATTTCGCCTTGCTACATATGTTAACTGGCCAAAGGATGCACATGTTAGGCCTAACTCTTTAGCAGAAGCTGGTTTGTACTCAACAGGATCGCATGATGAAGTAAAATGTTTCTCCTGCGATTTTACATTTTCTGCGATAGATGACCAGGCTTTGAATGAACATGAGATCAAATGCCCAGACTGCATGTTTATAAAAGACAGGGAAAATTCAGACAACATCCCCCTCCAGGCTCCACCGGATTTAGGATTTGAATTTGTTGAAAGTGTCTGCAACAAGCCTGATTTCAAGCTCCAGGAAATAGATACATCATCTATTCTAGCTGAGATGGCCAGTCCTGCACCGGAGAGTGCACCCGATATGCATTTAGAAGGTGACTTACAGATTGCATCCATGAGAGAATCACAGTGTATCAAAGTGACTCCCATTAAACATTTGCTTCATAAAGACTATGCTGAGATGCTACAGTTCAATGATAGATCTGAGGTTAACTCTGGGAAAATACAGTATTATGAAGGAACTTCAAGACCTCAAGGTGGCGCCAGTCATTACCTAGGGAGGATACAGTCTGTAGATGAGGCTTCCAAACTTGATGGCTATTCTAGTCTATACTCTGGAGGAGGACAGTTTGATGAGGAAGAATACAAGCTTGACGATGGGCATCAAACACAGATTGAGGAAATCCAATATGGAGGAGTGAACAAGTGGCATCCAGACAATCAATACAGTACACAGACAGACTGCCAAGGTAAGTCATTCTTAGGTCTTTGTTTTGTTGTTGAGGAAACATTTTTCTCTCCCCGTTATTAAAGATTTCAAGTATACACCCCACTGGGCCCAAGAAATGGGGGGGAAGTGTTGTGTATTACATCAAAAATTTTTGGTAGGAAAGGATGAAATTTGCTAAAAAAAATATTATCATATGCTTCTTTCTTACTGCTGCAAATCTGTTCAATATATAATATAAATGGGGCAGTAGAGTGTTAATTCAGGTAAAATGGCAACCCTTGAACATAAGATTTGAGATAAAAGAGGCCTTATTATCCAAAATAAAAATTACAGGCAAGCAATTTGTAGATTTAGGCTTAGTTCCCAAAAATTGCATATAGAACTTGGTCGTCATTTGAAGCAAAAGCCAAAACCTGTAGTTGAACATTTATGTAATATTTGTGGTATTTTAGAAAATGAACAACATTTCATCATGATTTGTAAGAAAAACACTACAGAAAGAAAGAAAACTTATGTTTGACACCCTTGCACAATTCAATTTTGTAGGCAGTCCTGAAACATCACACTAATAATTAAATTCGTATCTGTGCTTTACAATTATTATTAGATGATGTAATTAGAATTGTATTTTACAACAACTTTATTTTTGTATTCAGTGGTTAGTTTAGTCTTAGGTCAATTCTGTAGATTGTAGTTTTTAGTTTTTTAGTAACTAATATAATGACATCAGAGAGTCGATAAAAGATATATATATATTAAAGAAAACTATTAGAGATAAAGATATCTTGCAGATAAAACACACTGTTCTTAATGTTACACCAAGGATGAAAGTTCAGTCATTCATTGTAAAATACCTCCAGAAAATATTCAGAACAGTTATTTCAATGTCACCACAACCTGTCAGATTAACATAAAGTATGTAGCTCCTCCCAGATATAAATCACTACATAACCGCTTTTAAAAACACAAATTTTGTCAAGAAAGGATCTTTTCAGAAAATGTCATCAATGAAAGTGCCACTATTTTCTATTATTACCTTTAGTAAAGCAATTTGTCTTAACATTTAACTTGGAATAAAGGATGATCTGAGTTAGATCATAAAATATAACAGAAATACAGTCGGCCATAGCTCTGCATATTTAACACGAATTCCAACCAATCACAATAGAGAACGAGTTTATGGAATGTAAAAGGGAACTTAAACCTGAGCATAAACACTTCCTGAATATTACATTGCTTTCAACAAATAACAGAAATGATCAAAGACCAGTTATAATCTTTAGTTATATCATATTTTTTAAATGTATTTCAAGTGTATACTGAAACCACTGTAAAATATCCTCTAAATGAGGTCTGAGATTTCCTGATTTTGTTCTTCTGTTAAAAGCCCTTGTTGCCACTTATACCCCATCATCAAGTAACTTCTGTCTAAGTAGACCACCTTTGGTACCTCTGAAAAGTGTTCCACTTGGGAGATGTTCTAATTATAGAGGTTCATATAACATTAAGTCAGTTGATCTTGGAACTTTGAAAAGTGTTCCACTTATGAAAGTCTTCCACTTCTAGAGGTGTTCCAATTTACAGGTTTTACTGTACATGTATTATGATTCTAAGCCTATGCAAATTAATTTCAGGTGAACGGCCTCAAGAATACCTCTTTGGACAACCAATTCACAAGACAGATATTGGACTCTCATTCTCTAACCCACATGTGAACATTAGAAGGAAGCTCCCAGAATCTTGCAGAAATATGTTTCAAATGAAAGTTTTTGTTCTGCTAATATTTGCAGTTTTTATGTTTACATATTTAATGCATATATACTGAATTCTGAGCCATCAACGATTTTTAACAGTTCAAGTTCATATACATCACCATTTATGAATATGAACTAAGATTTATTTGATTGAATAGTAGAAAGCATAAGCTTGAACTTCAAATCCAACTGTCTAAAATATGAAGAAACATGAGAGTGAAATCTATGAGTCAGCTTGACCTATTTCAAAAAATGTGATTTTATTTTGAAAAGGCCAGAGCATGTCAACATAGAGTCTAAGCTCACAATATATTTTTAATACGCATGTATGAATCTCTAAAACCTTTTTGTGAAGGTAACATATATTGTAAATCTGACAATTGGAAAAGTATGATATATGTAAACAGTTTTTTTGTAAATAAAGAGGTTTCGAGCTATCATTAACAACTCTGAACAAAAGTAAGTTTTAACTTTAACCAGACATGAGATCATGATAGGAAGCTATAGAAACATCAATAAACAAACTCAAACTGTGTACCTACTTTATTGTCAGATAAGCTTGACATCATGTACTACAAAGTGATGTCTAATATATATTATTTAGTTACAGGACGACTTTATCACCATGTCATTTTTCAAGAAACTAATTTTTTGGAAATGGGGAAGGGGGTATGAAACCATATTTCATTAGAAAAAGTTCAATATCAATTGAACTATCAATGTTCAATGTTTGATATGATTTCACAGCCATGGGGAAGCGTGTTTTAGCTTTAGTGGAATTAGTTTTATAAGAAAACTTGATATTGTGATCTGGTCCCCAATAGAGCCTTACGATCTTCATATCAGGAAGCTGTATATTATTGTTGCTATCAGCTTTAGATGTGTAAACCGTAAATGTAATAAAATGCTTTTTATATTAAAGGAATAATCTGACTTACAGAGAGCAATTAAAAAAGGTCCCAATTTTAGAATCTTTTGGGCTCAGGTTCATATTTTTTATTTCTAAAAATTTGACACATTTCTTATCGTACCTGTAATCTCACTACTTGATAAGAGATCATTGTACATTAGGAGATAAGCTACTTTCCCTACCATCACAAATATAATATCTCAAGAAAGAACTACAACATGACATTTTGATCAAAAGGGAAGTTTTCAAAACTGTTTAGTTGGTTGATTTTTTAATTAAAATTATTATTAATTTTCATTCACTCTCCATGTCAGATCATCCCTTTAAAATCAAAATGAATAAATAAATCACTTACCCAAATTAAATTGTTGGCCTTGATTCTCTGTTTGTCTGCCTTGTTGCTTCAACATTTGCTGTCTGAACAGCTCTTCTTGTTGCTGTTTCAGCTGCTGCTGTTGTCTCTCCCGTTCTTGTTGTAATTTCTCTAACTGTTGTCGCTGTTCACGTGATTGTTGCTGCTCAAAGCTGGTCATCATACACTGATAGAAAAACAATTAGAGTTAAGACAGAGTTAAGAAAGACTTCCAGTGTCGATCAATACGCTAGGTTTTACATGTAGAAATGAAATGAATTTGTTAGTTCAAATGACTAAATGCACTTTTGGAAATACCCTCTCCTACAAGGAATATATCATAAACTCGGGATTTTTGATGTCTTGGACCAAAGCAACTTGATTCTTATTAAGATGGCATTTAATGCCCCCCTCCCCCTAATTAATGATCTACTTTTACATGCCTAAGTTTACAAATTACAAGTAGGTATCATTAGCTTAATACACATTATGATAAAAAAAATAAACAATAAGATAATTCAAATAAAGGAATAAGACACTATTTGTGGGGCATTTGTGGTACATTCATCACGGGGGATAAGCAAAACGAGGGCGAAGCCACGGACTGCGACTCGCGTAACTTTACACCGCAGCCCAGCGCCAAAATGGAGGGACATTCGGCAGTGCCTTCTGCTTCTTCCGACAAAATAGAGAAATCCAGGAATTTTAAATGCTATCGTAGTGTCTAATCGGTGACCAAAATATTACTCTGTATCTACTGTTGGTCTGTAGATAAGAAAATAAGCAGTTGTCCAGATCAAGCTAAAACAGTAGCAAAGTTCTGATTTTACCTGTAAAATATGTGCATATTATTTAATTTACTATACACTTGAAAGGAGTTTTAACACGTTTCTGATATCTAAAGGTTAGTTGAGGCTCCGAGTATAATTCGTGAAAATGATTTGATAATAGAATGTGTTCATGAGGAGAAAATTAGATTCAAACTGCGCATTCATAGTGGACGCAGTCCAGTAAACAAAGCTATTTCAACAACGCAACACAGCCTCCATTGATATTCTAAGCAACGCAGTCCAGCCGCGAACACGAAATAAATAAGAAAGTGTAAACTATATTCCTACGCTATTATTGTTTCAGGAAAAGAAAGTCAGCATCCAGATTATCATTCAAAGTTACGTTGATTAACATATATCTATTACCTGAATCAATGTCCCAAATTGCTATATTGTATCGTTTAAGACCTAGAAATATGGCAATTCAATAGCGTATTTGGCAGAACAGTCGAGCGCAAGATGACAACGTAATATGTTTATTACAAACCAATTTGTGGATAGGGTTAAATATATAGATAATTGGATAGTGGTGAGACTTTTTATAAGAAGTAGAAATGCGAAACAATTAACTTTTTGATGATGCAATAAAAGCTGTTGGGGAAGGGTACATTAACTAGTATTTAAGATATCAGGAAAATATCAAATAATTGGAGAGTTGGTGAGTTAATGTAATTTTGGATGATCTTTCCAACAGTCCATCAATATTGCTAGCTACCATAAATTCATGATTTCAGCTGTATTTGACAGCTTGTATATATTTGCAGAATGGATTGAGACACGATGTAGGTCTATTAAAATAGCCCTTTATATTCAATTTTGTCCAAAGTTGCTCCATTTCGGCCACACCTGTACACACATTGTGCTATCTACCTTTGGCTGTGATTGCGTTCAGCTTCAGATATAAAGCAACACTGAGTCGCGGACTGCGTTGGACAGATGGATGGACTGCGACTATCAAAAATTCCAATTGTCTATGTAATTGTACGTTTTCCGCTTACCAAATATCACACGAAGATGTAATTGTAACAACAGAACATGAATAATTATATTAATTCGATGTCATTTCTGATTTCTTTGTTTAAATCGGTATATTAGGGACAAATATTGACAAAATTACATTTTTTGTGGCAGATTTCGAATTCATTTGTGTTCATGCTAAACTATTGGACAGCCGAGCACCAAGAATGCCATTGCAGGTGGAGTATGAATATGTTGATCACCGACTGGAACATACTAGGTATTCTGTAGAATATCCAAACAAATAATCTACCCCAAATCCTAACATGCCTTCCAAATTAAGTTTGGACTTACCGCCATTGTTCAGCTATAATGCGTTGTAATCTCGTTTTGAATTACGCGAGTCGCAGTCCGTGGCTTCGCCCTCGTTTTGCTTATCCCCCGTGTTCATTAAACATGTGATTTAATATTTGTTCTGAACATGGGGATTCCCCTTAGTTATGAGTAGGAATTCCCATGATGGAGGTATATTATGTGTATATTATATGTTCAACTTTGACCTTCACGGATCTAGAGATTAAAATAATATTGAGCAGAAGATTAAACCTATCGGAATACATTTTGGATTTTTAATATTTTGATATTTGCATGTCTCTGTATACATTGTACATATATTATTAATTCAGTAAAAATAAAACTTGGAAGCTGGTAATCCAACAAATAATCAAGTCGCATCATTCCACACACTACATGACTAAGTACATATCATAATGATAAATATAGGACAGGGAGTGGTGAGGTCAAGTTGCTTAGGAAGTAAACTTGGGAGAAACTTTATTTACTGGTCATCTTAAAGGTCAAAAGCATTCATCTCTGCACGTAATTTACAAAAATATTGAATTTTGAAACATTCCTTAAGCTTGAAACATTCTAGTAAATTACGTGCAGAAATGAATGTTCATGTTCAAGCTGACCAAAAATATGAAATAAACATGTTTGATTAAGTACATATATACAATTGTACAAACCAGCTCAATGAGGGACGTCAATAAAGCTTATGGAGGTCAAGCTTCTTGAAACTTGTCACATGTCTATTTTGTTCCTAACTGAACACCAATTTAAGTTTAATAGAATCTTTTCAGAAACTCTTTTTTCACTGAAATCCCTTTTCAGCGTACATTCAGTTTATTAAAGGGAATACACATGTACTGCTAATCTATGAAAAAAAATCATTATTTCATTATTTCCTCTTGTCATTGAGTAAATCCTCACCTTTTCATCATATTTCTTTCGTATTGCCTTAATCCAATCATCTCCTTTGACCTGTTTCAGGTAGCCGCACTTGTAAAACCACCTTGCATGTTCCTCCCAAGGGGTGTCTCCCTCCTCCCAGTTGCCAAGCCCCATACCACAAAAGAAACATCTCACATTGTCACTATCTCCTGGAAATATATAAAATATACATGAACATTTAGATAAAGTGATTAAAATTGCAATTTTGGTGCATAAAGCCATCAAAATGCCATTTACTTAATTAGGGTTCTCAGAAAAAGGAAATATTTAGGGTTATGGTTAATATTTTATATCGTAGTTGTTCAGTCTTGTTAAATCCATACTTTAAATTCATTCCTTTTATGTCATAAAACCATGTATTAGGTCTTTTTCTGATATTTAGACAAGTTCACGCTGTAGCAACAATCATGGCTATCTGGAGTTAAATAGACTGCTCCCAAATCTGAATGCCTAAAGGATGAAAATCATGACATTGAAACAAATTTTTTGAAACCATTCGATCCTTTAGAGTGAGTCTGATGATCTATGGGAACATTTTGATCTGCAGGAAACTATTATTTATGCAGAAATATGAATGGAATGATGTCTTAAACCAACAGAAATATGAAAGGAATGATGCCTTAAATCTAGAATTGAGATTTCTAAGTTAACTTGGAGTACACTTGTACTTTGTGATCTCTCTAGTATAGCAATTGGGTGCTGCAATGCAACATATTGGAAATTACAAGCCCCTTGTAAAGGTCTGTCTATCCTTGTCAAAATTATGAAACATTCAGGTATCAGGTATCATATAGAAGACAATAGGAACTGATTCATCTAGGTGTCCTCATCATGTTAGTATGTTTGTTTCTCAACATTTTTGTCAAAATACAGTAAACCCTGTCTAATTAGAACACCTTTGGTACCTCTAAAAAGTGTTCTACTTGGGAGGTGTTCTACTAACACAGATTTATTTAATGTTAAGTCAGTTGGTCTTGGGACTCTGAAGTGTTCTACTAACAGAGGTGTTCCACTTTACAGGTTTCAAGTAATTGGCCAAAATGTTCTGAAAGAAATCTTGGTAGATATCTGGTACTTGATTAAAAAGGATATCACTGAAAAGGAAATATGAGATGTTAAGGAGTCATTCACAATTTACTGCTGAATAAGATGATTGATTCAACAGGTTAATATGTACTTGATGCATTAACCTATAGCATGCTAACGGCGTGCGGAGTCGCCCGTGGTTAACAATCCCCGGCAACTGCCGGCGACTCCGGTCGACTCAGTTTAAACTCATTTAATACTTTCACAAACTTTACTTTTTCCCGCCGTTCTTATGATCCAATTAGATTGCCCGATTTATTCAGTCCTTACGTCGGGACTTCCTGTTGACCTAGAATGGCGATCTTTCGAAAAAAGTATTTATTTCTCAATTCAACAATTTAAACAGTGTTTAAGTCGTTTTTATTGAACAAATCGTACAAAATGACGGCCAAATACGATCACAACGAAAATGTGGATTGTGATTTCTAGCTTTTTAGGCTCTTGGAAGAACATTCAATCGCTGCAAATTCAGTTTTGGATTCTGACCAGATGTTGAATCTCCCCAGGGGCGAAGCGGCGGATTCCGGAGGAGTATTAATGGTATATTTATGCTCACTCGTGTTTATGTACAAAAAAAATTCATGAGAACATTTTTTTCATGAGCCAGGCCTTTCCCTTTGTGAAAATTTTATCCAGATTCATTCAGTAGTTATTGAGATATTAATTATTTAGTCCAGGCATATCATTTTTTGCACTCTTTGGAAAATAAGTCAGTCGCGTGCGATATATTTGCTGAAATAAGTCAGCATGCTAAAGGTCAAAAAGGATATCACTGAATAGGAAATATGAGATGTTAAGGAGTCATTCACAATTTACTGCTGAATAAGATAATTGATTCAATAGGTTAATATTGTATTTGATGCATTCATAGAATTAAGAAACCATTATTCATTGACACAAGTACTTTTGTTACACTCATGCTATAACTGGTAGTCAGTTGTTTTTTAACTGAAACTGAACCTCAGTCAGTAACTGAAACCTTTGGGTGTAGGTACCTGTTATGGTCTATATGATTGGATGATATAAATATATAAATGCAGCATCTCCAAATATGGTCATTCTTGCTTATCAAACCCCATCACCTGATTATGCTATTTCATCATTATTATGACCTTTATTGATACTGATTAAAAGACAAGTCAAGATTCTCTATAACAACCGGAAATGAAGAAGTATTGATATGTGAGCTAATAACATAATATGAAATAATCAAAAGGCGTTTAATTAATGATTTGATTCCAAAGTATATGAATTAATGAACAACATGTACGTAAGTTTGTTCCCTTAGTCTAGTAGAGGAAGCTCGGAACCTGGTTGATCTATGTTAACATAATTATTGTACAGAAGTATGTGTCCCATAATTTCAATATGTAAACAGATGTCAGTTTTATGATTGAGCCTGTGTTGAACATTATCTTAGCACTAAAGCCAAAAAGAGAAATACAGAGTACTCTTAAAAGAAACACACGACAGTTGATAAAATACATACAGCCAGTTATAAAGAAATAACTCCAGCATCCAAGATTTGAATTTGGGATGATGATGATGATCCTTATTTTCTAAAACGACTTCCTTTTACCACAAAGCAACACCTAACACCGATTTTGAGAAAGAGAATGCATGAAATACTTGAGGATGACTTCAAGTTTATGTTTACATGTGTTTTATTAGGACTATTGATTGATCATACAAACACATCTTCAAAAATCACAAAATACAACGGTATATTGATATAACTGGTATAAAAACAACAGTCGGATCATGAATTCTGTAAAGTACATGTATTTTGAATCTAAAAAAAATCATAATGGCTGCCTTAAAATTCACGATGACCAAACAAAAATAATTCAGATCTGGAAATTTGATACCCTCTAACTTTTTTTTCAATTCTGATGACAAGAAATACTTGGATCAAAAATTTCTAATGTAATTTGCCAAGTATACTAATGCAAGCCTCCTAGACTTCCAGCAGCACGAACATCAGTTCTGACCTCACGAACTACGTTTCTTGCACTCGAACCATGATTCTTACATCGCGAACATGAAATCTTTGGTTGCGCATCACCATTTCCTCGCTCCCGAACATATTTCTCCATTCGGGCACAGAGATCCGTCCCAATATGCAATGTATTGTGTTGTTCAATTAGTGGATATTCATTAACATGCATGAAAAACTGGGAAAGTAAATCCGAATTCCAAATAAAAACACTTTGTTGGAATTTCAGTTATGCGAAATAATACAAACAAGGCATTAACATGACAAAATGTCACCACCACCTACAAAATGTAATCAATTTGAAGCAAGTTGAAAAATACCTTTTTGACCTTTTTTAACCTTAAGACCTTTTAGAGCCTTTTACCTGGTCAAATCTCAAATCTAAAGTCAGATTTGAATTTCTGAGAACCTGTAGGTGATTTTGAAAAAAACCAGAACAACGGCAACGCCAAAGCGTAGCGAATCCCATCGAACAAAAATGGTTTGCATTTTTACAAACGAAATATATAGCAAATATCATAAAACAACACACCAGAAAGGCCACCATTTTCAAAATGGTTGCTCACTAGCCAAGTTGTCATCAGAAGAAATAATATGCTTTTAAGTAGCCACCTATAAAATTTTTGAAAAATCGCACACATGTACTTGTAAAGACAATGTGCCATGCTTAGAGTATTCACATATCAAATATGAACAAAATCGCTCCACTACTTTTCGAGTTACAGTAAAAAATGTAAAAATGACAGCCATTTTCTAAAATGGCCGCCTACTATCCGAAGTGTCATGAGACAGTTAGACTAAGTGTGCAAGGCTCATGAGTATTCACATGTCAAATATGTACAAAATCACTTCACTACTTTTCAAGGTATAGTAAAAAACGTAAAAATGATGGCCATTTTTCAAAATGGCCGCCAACTACCCAAAGTGTCATTAGACAGTGTGCCATACTTATAGTATTCACATATAAAATATGAAACATACCAAATATGAACAAAATCGCTCCACTACTTTTTGAGTTATAGTAAAATATGTTAAAATGATGGCCATTTTTCAAAATGGCCACCTTCTACCAAAAGTGTCACTCAACAGTGTGCCATGCTTATAGTATTCACATACCAAATATGAACAAAATCGCTTCACTACTTTTTGAGTTATAGTAAAATATGTTAAAATGGCGGCCATTTTTCAAAATTATTTTCAAAATGGCCGCCTTCTACCAAAAGTGTCATAGGACAGTGTGCCATGCTTATAGTATTCACATACCAAATATGAACAAAATCGCTCCACTACTTTTCGAGTTATACTAAAATATGTTAAAATGGTGGCCATTTTCCAAAATGGCCGCCTTTTACCAAAAGTGTCTTTAGACAGTGTACAATTTTTATAGTATTCACATACCAAATATGAAAAATCGCTCCACTACTTTTCGAGTTACAGCAAAAATCGTAAAAAAAACGAGTAAAGGCCGCCATTTTTCAAGATGGCTGCCATGTGCTTTTTTAATATCTACATTTGTAGCTTTATTAATTGTCCTTTGAAATTTTTTTACATTTAAAACATATTGCTATTACAGTTTTACATATTGCACCTAAATTACTGTAAAATCGGCACTAAAATGGACGCCATTTTGAAATGAGCGGCCATTTTGAAAATCGGCTTTCGAGCAGAACTTTTACCCCCATAGGGTATATGTGTACAAAATATGAACAAAATCGGGTCAACGGTATTTGAGTTATTGCCCGGACAGACGGACGGACTGACGTACGGACAGACGGACGGAGGCGTTCCCTATATCCCTCCGAACTTCGTTCGATGGGATAATTAAGCCAATTTCAAGCAAGTTGAAAAAATACCTTTTTGACCTTTTTTGACCTTGAGAAGGTCATTGAAGGTCAAATCTCAAATCTATAGTCAGATTTGAACTTTTGGGAACTCGTAGATGATTTTGAAGAAAACATTTGATCAATTTGAAGCAAGTTGAAAAAAGACCTTTTGACGTTTTTTAATCTCAGGACCTTTTTTGCTTTTTTAACATGAGAAGGTCAATGATGGTCAAATCTCAAATCT